TCATACCCATATAGCTGGTATTATTAAAGAAAAGTAATCGCTGTGTCTACCATATTCATTTAAATGATAATATGTCTTGGTTTAATAAGTATACAAAATAGTTTTAAACATTCTGTCTCGTTTGCCTTATGACAAGTAAGCATAAAACCTCAAAAAAGTGAAAAAACAAGATTTATTCACTTGTAACTTTGTGTGGGCATGGCGGATGTTGTCCATTTTTGAATGTAACGAGTAGAGTGTTTCATAAACTAAATGTGGAATATTTTTACGACTTCCGAGTAACGAGCAAAAATCCAAAAATTGTGATGGATATTCAAAATATATGGAATATATATATATATACATATATATTTATATATTTTAATATTGCTTTCGGAAGGTATACTGTATATTTTAACATCAGTGAAACGAATACCTACCGAAATATGTTTTTTATGTCCATACCGTAACGTAAAACTATCGTAAAAATTTTAAAATAAAATTTAACTTTTATGCCTATATCCGTGCTTGAGTTTTTTCTTGAGAATGGGTGGCATTAGATGGAAAATCGACTATACTATTTCGCCTATCCACCATTTAGACTAATACAATTCTGGAACTGTTTCCACATATTATACTTGGTTCCCTTTTCATGGAAGCTATTACGTGGGAGCGAGCTCAAAACAAGAACGGAATCGGATCGAATTTCATAAGTTAAATTTTCTTCTTAATGATCTCATTATTCCTCACTTGTTCTCGTCAGACAGTAATAAGAATTAGACATTTTATGATAATTTTTATATAGTGTGCAATCCGAAAAATAAATCTTTGTAGTTAAAATTCGCCACAGTTAATTTTTATCTCAGATTATTATGGCTCGTAAATTATCACAACAAAATATTAAAATACAGACGTTTCGCCATACAAGAGTTTACTTTTCTTGTGATCTTTCATATGGGAAGATATTAAAAAAAATTAGACCACTCGCTTAAAGTAAAGTGGATTTTCGTCGAGAAATTTCAACTTTTTTTTATATAACCACGCTTTCCAAGTTAATCATCATATGGGGAGTGGCCGCAAAAGCGGTCCATTTCAGTCTATTTAAGGTAGCCATCGCCTTGGGTCAAAACAAATCAGTGTGCGAATTTTTATCAAAATATTTTATAAATTATGACCTGTCGAATATGACTTTGAATCGATCAGTATCGTAAATGATTTTGGCTATAATGAAAGCACAACACGAAGATTGGTTATCAATGAATTTTCAAAAAAAAAGAAGCAAATCGCTAACTTTCCAACGTTACGAATAAAACAAACTTAAGGCTTTTCCATTTCTCCAAATGTAGACATTTAGAGCCGCTTGCGTTAAGTCGTTGAACTACTCTGCATTTAAATCAATATTTGCAAGAAACTAAGGATAAAAAATGTAATTTATATTTTGATCTTTACAACTGTTTTCTCGTGTTGCAACATTGACAAAAGTTACATCAAAATACTTTATCCGATTACTATCAACAAACGTATATATGAATAATTCATTCATTATTATTTGTTGCAAAAATAAATAAGTTCGACTACATGAAAGTATAGTTGCATGAAAGTTGCATGAACTTTCAACAAATTTTTTAGCCAGAGTACTTTTTATTTATATTTGTTAGCCGTACTTGTTACAATAACTTGGCATCTGCAACAATCATATTTGACACTTATTGAAAAATTAACTCGCAAGAACAAAATGAACTTCCTTTTGTAACATAAATGAAATTCGAACCATTTTTTGCGCGAAATCGAAAGTCTGGTCAAACAGTCTACGCTCTATTACTTTAAAATTTCTCGGATTTCTAGGTAAACAATTAAACTAAGTGATATACGCAAGTTTCCCGCCGGACGAGGCAAAATCCGAATTATACGCTAAAAATCAATGCGATTTGGCCTTTACCTTTAATCGCATGAACCATGCATCCTGGTTGGAGCAGCTTTTCTTCCAGTTAATGTGACCTTGCCGCCATTGCGGCAGCTTTATTCATTCTAGCAATAGTATAAGATGAAATATGCCGGTCTTTCTTAATGCCTTCAAGAACTTAATGAACTCTATAATTGCGGTTGGTCGACCAGAACGCGGCTTGTCTTGAACACCAGGATTTTCGGAGCATCTTATGTACATGAGCAGTTTCGCGATATCGCTTTAAGTGCGAAAAATTATAAAATTTTTAGTTAATCTGCTCGAACTTAGTCTCTTTCAGGAATTTATATTCGTTAATGGGTGACATTTTTCCTTGCATAAGTAATTTAAACTGACTACTCTTTGAATATTACACAAGATAAATAAATGAATAATGTTAAAATCATTATGGGCTTAAATGATGACCAAATGTTAATGCTTTATAGGAATTACTTTTCAGACCATTTTTAAAAATTGTTATCTACATAAAACCTTTTCATAATTGTTTGGGATACATTCACGAAGAAATTTTAGCAATATATAAATTAAAACAACTTCCTTTAACTCGTTTCAATGAACGTTAGCAATAACACCTGATATATACTTGCTTATTTCATTCTTATTTAAACCAAGTACCTTAAAAACTGCCTAAACAGTAATTTTCGTATCTATAAAATTATTCAAAAACTGTATTCTACAAGCTTTAAACCTTCAATCATTTATAATCTGGTTTCCGCAGTTGGCGGCCACATTGTAAACGAATTGGGACAGCGTTTAAACGAGACTTTTAAAGAACACTCAAAAATATCCAATTGTCCTTAAGTTTTTTAAGATTAATGTTTTTGATTTCTATAAGTGTGTTTTTGATCCGTTTAATTAATTTAAAAGTAGGTGAATAAAATTAACTCTTAGTCAATTTGACATCGAACTTTTCCTTGGTAGATCTAATGGTTAAATATCACTATTAGCGTAAAACAAGGAGGAAGTGATATGTAGCGTAGACCAAATAATTTTTTATTAACCCTATGATTTTAAAACCGTTCTTAAATACCGAATGCTAATTGCATACCATAGAATTAAAATATTTCTCATTTACATATATTTCCTATATTGAAAATACATTTGACGGATCAATGATGGAATGTCGTTTCTATGTGCAACCGTATGACTTCTTCTGCATTATACACTGAGTAGGCATAATAATTTCCGCGGACTAACAGTAACTATGCAACAAAAATTTATGCTTTGAATGGGAAGCAAGACGATAGTATATTGTAAGCAACAATACATTCTGCTTAGAAAAGACCAACTCATAAAAGACGTACATAAAGTCTTCTTTAAATCGGTCTGTTATAGGTTTTCAGTGTGGTTTCTCAAAGAGCGTCTTTATCGTTCGCATTACTCAGTATTCCGCACCTAAACTCGTCAACGTATTTGAACATTGCACCAATATTTGGTTTAGACCTGTTACAATTTCTTCAGTTGAATGCCTTATCAATATATAGTGGCTCTTACTGATACAAAGACACGTTATCACAATTCAGACACAAAAGACATGCTTAAATTCATTATTTGTTGTGAAAAGTAACGAAAGACTAAAACAGCAGATTGAATGAAACTAATCGAAAAAACGTACAAAAGCAATAAAGCGAAAATCCAAACTAGTGAAAACCGCTGAATGGTAAAATCCTTTAGAAAAACAAGTATATTGCAAGGTAGAAACAAATGTATCCAATGAGAAGTTAGGGGAGCGAACTGCAGGTATAATTAAAAAAATTAAAATTAACTAAATACCCTATTGTACTTAATTTCCCTAATAATTTGAAATAAGCTGCGCTTTCAGAATATCAAGCTATATATATACATTTCATTCTTTTAACATGCTCTCATATAGCCATGTATTATGAGGCTCAATGTTTTGCTAATTACCTAATATATTTATATTAAACATATATATGATCTTGCTACTGTTAAGTAATGATTCCTTGTTTCTCTTTGATTCATTACAGGTCATCATTATTTAAACTCAGTGCAATAGACCAGTATATTTAAACGAAAATTTAGAATAACAAATAATAGCAAGCCTCATACACAACTAACCATCTTTAAGTTTGTCCTCAATAGAACGGTTTTTCGTTTTCGACATGATACACACAACAAACAAAATCACGATTCTCAATTTATAACAATTTTCAACGAAAAATTCAATCTTAAGCAAAACAAAAAATAGTAAATAAATTTGTATAAAAGTAAAAATTAAGATCTCTAATTAAAAAAAAAAAAACAAATAATAAACACAAAAAAAAAAATTAATGCAAAAATCAATTCAACTTCCGCCAAATGATAAATTTTTAAGAAAGTAAATTATAAAAAATTAAATTTCGGTAACAAAAAGTACAAAAACCTCCCGTTTTAGACAAAACGCCAAAAGATGTAAAGTTAAAAATTTTAACTCGAAAAGAAAAAGTATAACCAAAAAAACCTACGAAAAATAATATTTTTTGCTACAAAAATAATAAAAGATTAAAGGATTAAAATTCAACTTTTATATGTATTAAACGATACTATTAGGACTTAAAATACAAATTTGTTATAACATAAACAGAAAATATATTTATTGAATGAGAGAAAAAAATTATATTTAAAAATATTAGTTTTTGTTTTTATTTTAATTAACTTATAATACATGTTGGTAATTGCGTATTCGCAAACGCGCGCATATTCCTAAAGCTCATTGTTAAAAGAAGCGCAATTTACGACCCTTTCCCTGAGGACGGCGTAGCTAACATTTTTAAAGTCACAAAACTTTTTCCAAAACAGCACTAACATCGTTACAGACAGTTTTCAACACCATTTTCCGTACAGTTAGCATTAGTTTGAACAATACCAAAATTAACTATATAAATAGTTGTAAGAATTTTAGCGAATCTAATAAAAAATATCGTCAAAATCATACGCATATTTAAACATTCTGCCTACAAAGACAACCAGAATATTAAAGAGAAAAAAGAGCATAATATACGTTACTCAATTAGGCGTTTGTGCAATCATTTTATTTATTAAATTATCGGTGTTTTGCCTCTTCGTCCCGGGCATAGCTCTTTTATATTTTCAGGTAATTTTAACGAATGCACGCATGCATAAATGTTACTGTCCAATATGTACAAGGTTACGTGGAGAGCTATCCGTAAATATTTAAACAACCGTATCTTTTTCATTTCTGCTCTTTAATTTTTGTTTTTTCTGTTTTAAATAAATAAGTAACAATTAAATCAATACTAAAAAATTCTTAAAAAATCACAATCCTTCGTATTATTAAAAAAAGGCAAGAGCCTAAATTATGTATAAATACACAAACAAATAGGTATATGTATATACATATAGTTATATCTACACCTATATATCTATATCTATGTACATCGATTCATATTTATGTATATACATATAGTTATATCAAGCTATATCTACATCTACATATGTATATATATGTAAATATATGTATGTATACGTAATAGAAGTATAATATACAGAAGTGTATAAACTCATTGTTTCGGTGCAAAAACACTCAACAAAAATATAAGAAGAGCAATTCTAAGAAAGCGATATTTCCGGGAGACCTATACTGCAGCAGTATCTTCACACCACTTTGTGATCTCAAATTAACTAATAATAAAACGAAATTAAAAAAATTGTTACCCAAAAATATTGCAGTTAATTCTCTAAAAAAAACAAAACAGGAAAAGTAGAAAACCAAAATACTCGTCTTTACCGGACTAATATCATTTTAGAAATTCACGGAATTCTGAAATCTACGATTTTTAAACGTGTGCCTTAGCCTGGCCTTAAATAATTTAAATTCTATATTATGTACATAAATTAACAAAATCGATATAATATGAATACACACCACTATTGAAACCCGTACCCATTCATGATCATAAAATACATAAATATAACTTGTATTAAGAATACTGTAAACAGGAAAAAACTACACAGAAGAATGATTTGAAAATCTGCAGGTAAGTTTATTTATAGTTTTAGTACTAGAGTCGATGTTAACTCAAACAGATGTTGCCCTAAGGTGAATAAAAATTAGACAATGCCCAAGTTTCTTTTTTTATTAATTGGGGTTACAAGTACACATCGCAAAAAATTAAAGTAACGGTTTATATATTATACACCGAAAAAAAGATTTTTCACTTGTGAAGTTGAAAAGATTATAAATAATTAAGGATCCCAAGTCCCAACTTAGTGTATTTACGATTTCAAAGCTAACATTGTCTATGTACCGTTAATTTCATTATTATGTTATGAAAGGAAAATGTAAGTTTTTATCAATCATGTCAATACGAACCACAAACACTAAGGAAGTAATTAAAACACAATTTTAAATAAGAGAACGATGTTATTATGATATTGGGAGAGCGTGTCTTTCATTAAATTAATCTAAATAAAACTTACAAGAAAATAATAAAAAGAAGAAATTTCCCTTTCACCGTGTCCATCTGTAGGTCTATTAGTTAACTTCTTTCTCAAAGGCTCACAAGGAAAAACAATATAGTAGATACACATGCAAATCGTTTTCGAAAATATATGTACTCCCAGAAAGTTGTTTACAGCAACTTAGATAGATATAGAGACATTAAATATAGTTAATCATATAAGATTTGCCAAGAAGATTTGACAGAGACACTTGAAGATGCCGCCTGCTCGAGATCGCCGTTAAGTCCCTATAGTTTTTGTATAGTTTTCTCTCTTAACTATGTTAGTTAATTATAAATTGGTTTTCACTCCAAAATGAACTCTCTTCATATTTCTGTTGTAGATGGACTCATTGCACCTGATCTAAACTCTCACTCTTTTTCTCTCGTTGTTTGTACATTTTTCTTTGATGCATTTTTATCTAGAAGCTTTTATAACTTTTTTTTGTTTTCACAAACAATAAAAATTCCACAATAATATTGGCAACGATGTATATGTTGTGTGTTCACGACGACGTGTTTGTTACTTTGTTGCAGATTTACATATCAAAGGAAGAAAGTTTATACATTTGTGTAGTTATCAATATATATAAAATTTTATCAGGAGACTTCTAACTCTAAGATCTCTTCACTGCTTATATAATTGCATTTATTAGATATGTTAGATTATATCTGCTAAACGTTGTCATTTTTGCCGTAGTATCTGTGCTAATTCGGTCAATAAATGCTAATAATTATCGGTGACTAATTTTGTTTTGTTAGTCCACATTTGAAACATTTAATAAAAACCAGCTTTTACAAAAAAAATTCAAAAAAAAAAAAAAAAAAAAAAAAAACACGCCGATATACAAGGAAATGTAATTTTGGCTTAATACACACAAAGCAAATAAACATCAATGTGCAGTACATGCTCTTAAATAAAGCTCCAAGCACGAGCAACGGTGCCTCTTTTAATTTCTTTTTTTCACAATTTACATATAACCACAGCCAAAATATAAGTATGTATTTGTGAAGTTCACACAATACGCTTTTGATTTGTGTGAGATTTTACATTGCTTTTACTATTGTCGTCATGCATGTTTGACCGTCTGTAGATCTGTGAGTCAGTATAGACGCAAGAACTGATATAGTTGCCGATAAGTAGAAAGCCGAACGATTCAAAAAATCTAAAATTTCGATCTTGACTTATTCTTAATTTACGGTTTGTAACAGATATCAGTCGGAAAATTGAAGAGGGTTTTAAAGCAAATATTTAAAATTAAACTAAAGGAGTTTAAAGTTTTTTTTTTTAATTTTTGCTTTTAATACGCTCTTCAAATACCTTATGATTTAGATGGCGATAATTTTTGCTCAGTTATTTTGATGTCTGCCGAAAAATAGTCTTTACTAATTTTTTCATTGGTATGGGAAACAATCAAAAATTGGCGCATAAATTAGTTTAGAATATTGCAACTTTTAAAAAATCCACAAGTTAATTCGCCATTAATTCCCTGTTGTCTGTTAATTTACACATTCGGAAAAGGGTTCATATTTTAAGGTTAATATTTGAAAATTTATCCACATAAGTTTCACTAACATTTTTTATTTATAGTTGAAGAAACTTATCATCGTAACGACAAAAATTTCCAAAAGAATACAATCGCGAGGAATAAGAAGACACGAAGAGCTCTACAATAAGCAAAACTCTTCTCAACAACGCCGGCATTTAATATACAAAAAATTAAATCGAAGCACACAGGTAAATAATTTTCTGTATAAATAGAAAGGCTATTTAATAAATTCTGTTTTAATTACTTTCGGTCAATGAGGATACCCATAACTACATGAACATAAGTTTGTACGTAAACATGTTTATGCTGAAACAGATGCTTAAACGGAAAGGCAACCGAAACTCTATTAATGTAAACAAATTAAAGAATTTCAATATTGTATGTTACAAACAAGGTGAACAGAAGCAAATTAAAACAGTATATTCACTTTGTGAAGCATTTCCGATTCACATGTTCCACTCCACAAGCTCCCAACTTTCTCGCTCATGTTTACATTAACCAATAATCAATATATCAAAAATCCTGCCTGCTGTATATTCTGGATATTCGATTAGTTTTAAATTTTAATTATGAAAACTACATCCCTACTCTGCCGGTAAATGACAGTTATATGTATATATATATGTACATATATTTACATATTTTGATATGTGTCTGCGATGTATTATACGTAAGAACAGATATTTGATATTTGACTGCAAGTCTAAGTAAAGTTAAGGTCCATTAAGCTAAACGTGAAAGTGCTGCAAGATAAAATTCTTAGACCAACGTAGCCATCTTTGGAATCTAACAATGAAACATTTGCAAGACGAACAATTTGTTGCTAATTGTGGCCCTTTGCCCATTGGATAGGCTCTACCCTATGAGGACAGCAAAAACAAAAACAAACATGAAGATTGCAAATTAATATATGTAAATATAGGTAAAAGCAAATTTTCTCTATATTGATAGTTTGCGAAAAGGATTTTTATTTGTTAGACTTTTTACTTTGCTGCAGGTACGCTTTTCAGGGGCGGACCAGCTTGCTTTAAAATAAAGGATACAGCCAGCTGTCTGAGCACAGTCTGAGCAGAGTTTCAATTTTCTTTTTTATATGTACATGTATATGTTATTATATCTATTCGTCGATAAATTTTCGAATGTTACAAATGAAATGGCAAAATTAGTATTCATCCATCTTGCCATGATAAATATGAAAAAAAAAAAAAACAAATAAATAAATAAGAAAAGAAAACTTTAGCGGTAGAGAATACACAAACGCACAAGGGGACCTAAGCACACATATAGGCATGGACATGCAACCAATACTACTATGTGTAAGCTGATAAAGTAGAGGCAGAAAAAGCACGAAATATCCACGAAAAACAAGGACACATGCAAGAAAACTGCAACAATTAGATCAAAAAGTGAGCACACACGCACACGTAGAGATATATACAACATCTTAAGAATTAAAAAACAAGTAGTAACAACTTCGGAAAACGACGCTTCTCAACTATTACGATTAGATGATGATGATAATTGTTATGATGATGTTGATAGAAATAATGATGATGGTAATTATAATGATGACAGTGATAATGGTTGCGATAATAATGATGATAATAATGATGATGATTAGAACGCTTCAAAACTTGTATAGAAACTCAAGTAACATTTCGCATTTATACTTAAGAAAGCACGGAAACTAATATTAGTTTGTTTTCAGCTCTCGTGGTATATCGTACATTCAGATTTGTTGTATTATACATTTCGCTTAAAGTAGAAATGAGTTAAATGAATAACCACAAGTTCTGTATAAATAGCTTTAATAGAAGCATTTCTTATAGGAAAAAAGAATTTTTTAAATTATTTTATAAATCGTTAAAAAGCAATAATAATATACTTGAAAAAGAGTGCTACAAAATATATCCAAGTTTTAGAAATGATTTGATTAAAAGGTTTCGTCAGATTATGTCAAGTGCAAGTAAACAGCGAAATTTGAATACCACAAAAATCCAAAGATCTTTAAAATTAAGCTTGATTCACTTAAACTTTGTGTGCATTATGTTCGAATTTGTGTATACAATGCCACTAGTGCACTTTGGCGCCAAGTTCAAATGACAATGTCTACATCATCATCATGAACAACTCTGACAACAGGGCGGAAAAATAAGGCAAATAAAAACATCGACTGACTCAACGATCGGACAAGTATACACGTATCTGTCGATTTTAGTTTCTGTATTCGTGAAAACTTAAACGTTGATTGTCCAGTAGAAAAATTTTTATGTTACTTGCACGCGCATATACACAACTGCACTCAGGCATGCAAATTCATGTCTTTAATACTTAACATATAAAGCTGTGAAAATTTTAATCATTATGTGATATATGTTAATTTCAGTGGCTTCAAAATAATAAAGGATAATAATTAATAATAAAGGATAGATGACGTAGTTATAAAAGAAAATGAACCGTCAATCTTGCTGAGATTTCAGTTCACTTCAATCAAGTGAAAGCATCGTTTATTTATTTCCTTTATTTCTGCGTAGACATGATATTACTTGACGTGCTGACATGTGTGTTCCTTTCCGCATTCATTGCCTAAATTACAAATATTCCAATAGTATTTGAAATTATTGTAACTGTTGAACTGTCCTCTGTCTCACTATAAAATTTTTCAAACTACTTTACTGACATTAAAGTAGAATAAATTTGACAATGTACTCGATTTACATGGAGCTCAAGAAGCTGGTGTACATATTATCTAGATTCCAACTAACGAATACGTTGCAAGGATTCAGGAAATTATATAATGCATTGTAAATTTACTTTGAATCTTTAAAATAAACATTATCAAAATCAATTGCACATATGTGCTATTGTTTATCCGTTTAACTAGTTTGTCCAACGCACCTAGTAAATTGGTTGTGAACGGCAAGTAATCGGCACAACATAATCATGTGAATAACGTTACTTGTTTCAAACTTCAAAAGAGCGTATCTTATTTTTCCTCAGATGACATACCTCCTAACACTTCTAAGGTTTTTGCATAAACTGAGATAATGGCTTTACTTACTATTAAAAGATAGCAAGTCGGAAACCTATTGTTTCGTGAAGCGAATTTTATATATTCCTTACTTCGAGCATAGATGTACCAAGTACTCGTACTTTTAAAAATTAAAATCAAATGCATTTAAATTAAGACATTTCGCTTCATTAATGCAAAATATAAAAGCCAGAGTAAGGTTTTATTCGCCGATTGAGCATTAGTTATATTTCATTCTTTTCAAAATACTTTTGCTAAAAGAAGGCATTACATGAGAAGTGGCTGAAAAAGTGGCCGATTCGAACCATTTTCAACAGCATTCATCCTCTGCTCGAAACACGCCGATCTACCAAATTTCATCAACATAGCTCAAGAATTGTGATCTGTAGATTGAACGCATGATAACAAGTCAAACAGACAAGCTTAAATTGAAGCAAAAAGGCGTTCTGAAACGATCAATATAGTAAAGGTAGGTCTATCTCAAATCTACTAAAAGTGTTTAGCACTATGAAGAAAAGTTACAGAAATCTTTTAGTCAAATACAAAAACTATAAAATGTGGAATTTTCATGGAAAGGGAGGACCAGAAGAAATAACTTGCTTATAAAAAGAAAACAAGGACACCTTACTAAAAGACCACTTTCTTTGTTAATGGTGTTTGAAAAAAATAACCAATAATAATAATATATTATAAATTTTCGATTAAAACAAACGCTCAACTTTCTTTAATTGATCTCTGTATAATTTGTTCGCATAACCATTTTTAAACATTGCTACTGTGTTATTTGGAAGTTACCTGTCTATACCTTTATCTTGGTTACAGTTTGGAAACCTTTTTCAATAAGCAAACAAATTATTGTACGGACACATCTGTATGGATTTCGAGACGTGCATTGCTTAACTTAAAATACATGTGTATAAAATTCAATGCACATTTCAAAGCGACAGAAACGAAAACGCTCGTTCTTAAAACTTTGCTTTGAATCCCAGAAATTTCGCTAAGCTGTAATGTGTTCATAAACTGTTTAATTCGATATAATCAATGTACACAAAAGAGGCATAGAAGGAATTGTGTCAGCAAAAGCCAACAGAATCAAAGAATTAAATGAAAATATTAAAATAAATAAAAAATATAATTTGTAAAGAAAACTAATTGTAGCCACACTGGGTCAACACCAACAATTTCCATTGGAACCGCGTATACGGCATGAAAGTGTCGGCAATAAGCAGAGGCAGCTATCAACAAATAAATCGGACCAACCAGGAAACGAAAAGAAAGAAGGGAAACGCAAAGTTAACGTCGATCTAGATAAGGAGACTAATTTTCTAAGTGGACGTTTGAAAGTGGATCAGTGGTTGTTGAAGAATTTTAAGCACAGCGGTGAGCTCACTAATGTCGATTTACATCCTTTACAAGCACCCATAACAGCATCTGTTCCTCCCATCAACACCAAACCCAACGACAATAGCGATAATCAATATTACAATACATTAGCGACCTTGTCCTCGCGCGACGCTGGCACTGTTTTGTCCCTAACGTCAGCCACGCATGCTAGCTTTGCTGTACCCCAATCACCCGTTTCAACACCGACGTCCAGCTTTCACCCTAATTATTCAATTTCACCAACCGCCCACTTCGGCACGGAATCAGCTTTTCATGTTGCACAAATGACTACAACAGATCTGGAGCAAGGACACGTTACACACTCTCATGTGCAGCAACGTTCGCAACAACACACATATAACACTTTCAACAACCAACAACAGCATCATCAACTGCAAACGCAGACGCATCTCATAAATCCGTTTAAAATGGATGCTGATTTTTGGCAGCAAGCCAGAAGTGGTTCATTCGGACTACACGCTGCTGCTGCGTTAGCTAGCAATCACATAGGTCATCATCATAGTCACCATCAAGCACAACAAACCAGTGTTGGAAACGTTGCAGCACAATTACATCATCCGCAACAATTACATCAGCAGCAACAACATTTATCCGGACAAGTTGCCAGCGCTGATCAACAGATGCATCAGTTAACCTCGCCACCAGTAATATCAGCCTCACAACAGCACCATCAGCCCCATCTTTCGCAATTATGCACTGAACAAAATCACCATCTGCTATTTAACGCAGCTGCGGCTGCCGCGGCCGCCGCCCATCTAAGCGGCGTCGTGTCAAAATCGCATGAATTGGATAGTACAAACATTACTCAAGACGAAGATAATAATGATATACTATCTGGTAACAAAAGTAGGAACGGCAATAACAACGAATGCTCCTCAGCGGCAACAAAGCAGGAGCTATCAGCTATTCCAGGCTGTAGTAACAATTTGCTACCCACTGCAAATAATGGTACGCATACAGATAATAATATACATCACGAGCAATCATTACAGTTGCAAACAGTTCAACAACAGCAACAACCACTTAAGTACGAACATGAAGCTTGCACCTCTAATAACTTACCCCTTGAGGCGTTACAACAGCAACTACAGCAACAAGTACAACACCAGGAGCAACAAATCTCAGCTGATAAGGCCGAAAGAGACTCGGGAATTCAGAGTGACAAACATATCGCAAACTCATTGCATGCAAGCCATCATCATAATATGCAGCAGGAACATCACCAACGTCATAGCCAACAAACACAATTAACAGTAAATGCTGTTGGCAGATCGGGTGACACCAGTCATAACGAAAGTCCAACCCACTTACAACAATTGCGGATGCAATCGCTAGAACGGCGCAGTTCACCAGACACGCAACCACCAACGCTACCGTTACATTCCGAAGACCCTTTACAGATTAACACTTTTGCCAAAAATGGACCAACAACAACTTCACCGCAACCGTCCTTAAACTCAGCTTCTGGTGGCAGTTCTACTCCTGACTTGAAGTTCAATAGCGAAAATAATAAGGTACCAGGTGAATTACAGGTGAGTATATCGATTTCAATTGGCAAATGTGGTGCGGTGTGCTTTGTGTTTGTCATCCTCGGTGTTCGTGCAGTAAGAGTTTCCAATTACTTGTTTGAGGAGAAACCGATTATTTTGAATTTTTTGAGCGCACCTCGTCTAGCGCTAGATGCAATAATTCCCCACGGTTTGAACAGAGATAAATTTGAGATAAATTGAATAAGAAGAGGTTTCCGACGGTTTCTTGTCACACGGGATCAGTCATTAATGTTTCAAAATTCCTTACTAAAAAAAGACCTTTATATATCTAGACGACATTAGAATCATGAGATAGGAAAGCTATTGTAAAACTGATCGTGAACATTGCCAGTTTTTTAAAAAGAACGCTATATTTGTTGTAAGTAACTCCGGACAGAAGTAAAAAGTGAAAAGTCAAACCGTTCAAAGAAAAACTTATTTACCGGTTTGTCCTAAGATCTGATTACAAGGTCTACCAAATACAAACCGTTCATTTATATATATCTACTTTATCGCAGTGAACACAGAATTTAGTGGGGTAGGCAACTTTTATTTTTAATGAGTGCTCTTTGTTTATAAAATTTTCCTCATATATAGCGGCTAGCTATACAATTGTTAGTTTTTCTATCAAAAATAGGCAACCAATATGAATGAGAGGATATTCAAAATTGATTCTAGTAATTTTCCCTGACGATTGATTTGTTAACGAATCCATAACGGAGAATAATCTGAAATTTCTCCAAAAAAAATGCTTAAAGAAAATATCGTCGTCTTAAGCACTGTAAACAAGGAGGAAAGAAAAACAACTAGTTCTAAAGTTGCAAGATCCTTTTAAAAGTCATACTTTATAGTGGTGCGACCTGTTGATGATTTCCTAAGTGAAAAGGTACATTCGCTCTACTACTAGGGCTCTCTTAAATATTGATGATGCGAATCATCCTACAAAAAGCATTCATGTAATAAACTTTCTTCGGCTAACAAACAATGTTCATTCGCTGAGTAGTTATATAAGCATCATTAATAGTTATATAAGACATTATTTATTAAGCCACATTAAATTAATCTTCTTTGAAAATCTAAACACTTACTTAGCTTAGTTCATAAGGAGAAGAAAGACTTTTCAAAAGTTTGTGTGACCGGTTGTTTATGCCTATTTGTTTTCCTATTATTTCCAAAATCTTTGGTTTCGAATAGCACGTGAGCGTAAAGATGGGACATGTGGGACCTAAGGGATTGTTTTCAAATAATGATTTCATCTCCTTAAGAATGCTTTTACAACTCTTTCTCCGCCATGAATTCATTCTATACTTTCACATATCCAAATTTCATTGAAAAGCAGCTCTTACATTATTGCAATATGATTGAAATGCTGAGTTCGCTTTATTGGTTAATATCTATTTAAATAGTCTTCAACTCTTGTTTTCTTTTCGGTTCTATATTCCAGATGTGTGGAGAAAGTCTAATTTCACGTTTAAAATTATTTGCATCTGACAAAGTTCAATTAATGAGCGAGCTAACAATAATGATAATTACAATAAGTAAAAAAATAAAATAAAATGTTACACTATTTTAAAGATTCATATGATTCATTTTCAATTTACTTCAATTTTAATATCAACTTAATTTAATTTGAAATATAGTAATTACAAAGCCAGATTAAAAATTGTTCATGGAAAGATTATCAGTACAGTAATATATAGGTACTCTATATAAGAGAAGATAAATAAAGTTTTCGCAATAAACACTTTCTGTTTCTCTATCCACGCAACGTTTATAACGAACATAAAGTTATGTGGAATGAAGCATATTTTTATTTATGAGTGAAATGACTATATAATAAACTTTGCTATGTCTGTCGGTCTGTTACGATTGCATTTTGAAGAAAGACGAAACTTAGTGGTGCATTATGGTATTGAAACCGATCCCAATCATACGTTTTCTTGCTATAGTTTTTTTTTGATTTGTATTTTGTATACAGAAGAAATAGTCACCACAACACATTCTAAAATCAATTCTATTGCAAAACAAGTATGCTAAGTTTGGCAAGCCATAAGCTATACAAGAAAAAAAATGCTTTGTAATTCGGGACGTTTCCGCGATTTGCTCAGAATCTTTTGGTCTTAAATTTTTCTTTTCGTTTTCGTGAAAAAAGGTTCAACCCGATTGAAAGGTCCATCAACAATCAATAAAAAATGTTCTTCATGTCTTACATTAGGAACACTATTTTTTTTTTTGTTTTAAACTTTGAAAATGAACTATATTGTAAAGTAAGAGGCGCTGCCATCTTCGTTTATATAAGAGCATTTTTCGTGCGGTATCATTTCAAATGTTGCTTACAAATGCGACATTGTGCAAAATCGATTATCATATATTAATGCAATCAATTTTAGTGTTCACATATATTCACATATATGTAATATATGCAACGTTCAAAGTATTCTTATCGATAATACTGTATATCCACACGCGACAGGCATTTTCATAAATATCAGTACTATACCAAGTACTCAAAATTGCACACGAGACGTAGTCATACTTAATATCCTCATCATAACGATCAAATTTAATTTTATATAAATGCTTTTGTTATATTGGGAACTTAATGACAAAGGTTAACACGCCGTTGATGTTAGGAATAAAAGCGAATTTAAATATGGAAATAGTTTCATTTTAACCTCAAAGGTAATATATATAAAGATCTTTATGATTTTTTAATGTTTTCTAAGTCTGAAAACGGAATTTTTAAATTTGTTTTTATAGTGACTCTCTTACAACGTTTTACATAATAATAAACTAGAAAATAGAAAACAAAAATTAGTTATTAAAAGAAATTTCCTTCATATAATAGATCATTTTAGCTCGAAAAATAAAACTTTCATTATAATAACAAATTTTAACAGCTTCTGCATGCTTCTATGTTCGGTCGGCACAAAAACGATATAAATTTACAGATATCCCACTGCTTTCCCCCACTTACTCACAAGTTATTTGTACGCACCTTTAAATTCCCCAGGTTCCTTTAAGAAAAGCTACTCTTTCTTCTTGACGCAGGGGAAAGAGGGTTTCTTAAAAGTAACTAATGAAACATGAGAAGACCAGAGAGATTTTTTAAAAGTAACTATTGAATTATCTATAAAGATTCATTCTGTGTTTCGTAGATGTTTGTATTTATTCTGGCCTTCCTTTTATAAAAGCTTTATTTCCACCCAAGAGTATCCCTTGCAAGCTAAATTTCCCTAAAACTGGAAGCCAAAGGAAATTGTAAAAGAAAGTAAAGGCTAATTTTCTTTAAATATATATTTCACATAGTTTCGCTGATTTTTTTGCGTTCTACACATGGTGGAAACCCCTTTAAATAATTACAATTTATTCTAGTCGCTTCCCTTCTTAGGAGCTTCACAACACATTTTGTTGCTGGTTGCTTTACTTTATACACTTCTTTCATTGAAAACATTCACAAACGCATGAATGAATACAATTAGATTCTTGGGTGTAGAGGGGAGAGTGCAATTTCTCGTACTCAAACTAAATAAGGTCTCTCCTTATTTTTTTCTCTTTTCTGGCTCTCTTAATTATTGAGATATAAGAGATTTTTTTGGCAATCGCTATATAAACTAGAGTGGAACACCCTTTTTGCTTAGATTTATCTAATACTAATTAAATGAGAGAATAAGTAGACCTTTTTCTTCTCACTTCCTCTTTTTTGAATATATTAAAAAGTCGCTAATGAATATATTTGTGAAAAATTTCTGTATATATTTTATACTGTACCTAATACAATAAAACAAAAAGCGTAGTGCGACGGTGATAAGAAAGAGAAAGGAAGTGACAATCTTAGTTAGTCTTATAATCTTGTATGCATGTGTCAGTGGAAGCAAAGTAGACTAGGGATAAAACATGCAAATTCACAGAGTAAAACATGTTCTCGTTTTTTATTCAACAAATAATGAGTCATTTTTGTATACTTTACCATTTGTATGTTTTACTTGAATATGACATACATCTTTTCAGTTCTAAATGCGAGTTGTATGTTCCAAATGTGCATCTATTATTTTCTTATTATGAAAACTATATGTCAAGAAAGGGGTGGGATTTGCTTTCATTCATCTTCTACTACCACTTTTGCTTCTATTGTGCCAAAGTTACTTCTTAAATTTTATAATTTAAAGACAACGACACACACATGTCTAAAAAGCTTTGAATTTCTCCTAATTCTGAGTACTATTGCTATTTAAACTGTCAAAATCTATCTAAAACAGAAAGAACAAAAAATTTATTGTTCCAAATACGTTTTACAGTTTCTTGCTGCTTCGCTCTGGTCTGGCTTGGCGGTGTTCTTTCGTTGATTTCTTTGCATATGCCTTTCTGTTTAGCTACTAGTCTGTTTATTTGTCTGTCTGTTATATTACTTGCTTGCCTGTTAGTCGTTGTCTGGTTAAATGTTTATATAAACACGTGTATACAGCTTTGTGTGTGTACACACATATTTGAGGTGCATGGTTTGCTGTTCAACTTTTGTATCAATGTGTGAGTCTGATTTACTTTTTTAATATTCTTATTTTTTTTATTTCTACGGTGAATGTATTTGTGAACTGTGGTCCTTTTATTATTATTTTTTGTAATTTCGCGCATAATTTCTTGAGAAGAAGACGCCAGCAAAGACGTTTGCTGTCCTGTACAAGAATAATGTTACAACTATTGCCGGCAGAAGTTTTAAGAACATCGTGCCGAAAGGACGTTAGGACGCTTAATTTTACACGCGCGCCAATTATAATTACAAAACAAAATTAAAAAATAAATCACCCAAAACCTAAAATATGTGTAACTGCAAATTTGCAGTGCTTGTACGTGCGCTATTGTATATGTCGGTGTAATTTAATAAAATGTATTATAATGAAATAAGTTACAAAAAAAGGTTCAATTAAAAAAAAAAAGAAAGAAACAGTTTTCTTATGAATTTTCTTTCGAAAAAATATAATTGAAAAGTGGACAATTATAATTAC